TCAAAGAGATCGGCAATGAGAGGAATGGGGTACTTATTTTTTATAGTCACCTTGTTGAGCGCCCGGTAGTCGATGCACATGCGCAAGGACCCATCCTTCTTCCTCTGGAACAACACCGGTGCACCATATGGGGCCTTTGATGGTCGAATATAGCCCGCATCTAACAGTTCCTTAAGTTGCCTCCGCAACTCCTCCAACTCTGGGGGTGCCATCCGGTAGGGCACCAAAGCAGGGGGTTTAGAACCCGGTTCCAGCTCAATCTTATGATCCACCTCCCTCCTAGGTGGAAGCTTCTTGGGCAGCTCCTTAGGCATCACGTCTATGTACTCGTCTAGCACGGCTCGTATCTCCTTAGGCACCTCTTCTTGTGGGGAAGGGACTAGCTCATCTTTGGGTGTCTCCAATAACGTAGCAAGGTAGCTAGTCTCTCCCTTCTTGAAGCCCTTCTTGAACTGCATAGCTGACAAAGCTTGGGCTTCCAACTTGGCGCCTCGCTCCACCGACACCATGCATGCTGTGTTGCCTTCCATAATACACATAGTGTTAGCAAAAGGAATGGGGAAGGCTCTCATCTTGTCTAAGAACTCCAACCTAAGGACTAGTTTGAAGTCGTCCATGGGTACCACCGATAGATCTATGTGGCCACCCCATTCGCCAATGCATGCTTGGACGCCGTGTGCCATGCCATGTATAGCCTTTGCCGCCGAGTTAACTGCCTTCATGGAGCCCCCTTCTTTGCTATACTTGAGGCCCAAACTCTTGGCCTCGTCAAGGCTCACAAAGTTGTGGGATGCACCCGTGTCCACCAAAGCACGTGTGGGTGTCCCATTGATGCTCGCCTCCATGAACATTAGCCTTTTAGCCGCCGCTTTAGGGACTTCAGTTTTAGCCTTGATGGCATTAAGGATTTGCAGTGAACCCATCTGCGCCTCCTCCTGTTGTTGCTCTTCATAGCGGCTCGTCATGGCATTGAGGGTCTTTCGCTTTGGGCAATCTCGTACCCAATGTGGTCCGTCACATATGAAGCAAGAACCCTTAGGCTTGGGTGCTCCTTCCTTGTTCTCCCTTCCCTCTTTGCCTCCATGGCCACCACCTGGCTTACGGGACCAATCCTTGTGGGGTGCAGCGCCCTTGTCTCCCCCACCTTTGCCGGCATACCTCCCCTTATCCTTGTCTTTGTCTTTTGGCTTGGACGAGGGTTCCTTCTTGGAGCTGAAATCAATAAAGGACTCCGCCTCTGCAATAGCTGTGGCAAGGTCTTGCACGTTGCGCCGCCTCAACTCCGTCTTAGCCCACAACTGCAATACATCCATTAAGAAGAAAAGAGAGTCCTTGTCGGATAGATCCGGGATCTCAAGAGTCAAGTTAGTGAATTCCTTCACATAGTCCCGAATCGACCCAACCTGTTTTAGCCTTTGGAGTCTGCCCCTAGCTTCATCCTCGGCATTCTCAGGATAGAAATGCTTCTTAATTTCCATAGTGAAATCAGCCCAAGTATCAATAGAGACCGTACCTTTGCCTATGTCACCATACTTTTTCCTCTACCAAAGCATGGCATGGTCGGTAAGGTAGTGGGTCGCCGTGCGTATCTTGATGGTCTCATCGGTCATGCCCGTAGCCTCAAAGTATTGTTCCATGCTGAAGAGGAAGTTCTCCAACTCCCTCGCTACCCGGTTCCCACCATAGCACTTAGGCTTGGAAATATCAACCCGGGGTGCTACTACCCCCGTAATAGCTGTGCCGGACGCCACCGCCCGTTTGCACAATGTCCAGTTCGCTCGCATTTCCTCCATTTGCTCGCGGAAAGTGCCAAGCTCCTGATCAACATAACCACGTAGGGTGGCAAACTCCCCCAACATAAGTTCTCGAAGTGCTTGGAGCTCCTGCCGAAAGTCACCACTTAGGGCATTGAGTGACCCTTTGACAGCGTTTTGGACCTCAGCATCCTCCGACTCCAGCCCATCCATGCGCTGGTGAGCATCCTCAAGCTGCTCCAACACGTTGGCTATGGACCCCTCCATGTTTGCCATACGTGCCTCTAAGCCCGCCATAATGTCCTTCGACCTAGCCCTCGTCCTCACTCCGCCTGGAGGGGGATTTGTTTCCCTTCCACGTAGAGTCTCCTCTTGGGTGCCAGTCACGTCTGATAGCTCCGCCATAACTTCCTCCACACAAGGTGTGACTCCTCACGACCTTAGCTCTGATACCAACTGTCACGGACTTAAACCTTTTCAAGCTCCCGTGCGGCCTTAGACACTTTCAAGACCCCTTGAAGCGCTAAGTCAGCCTACCCGAGTGTGCTAGCTTAGTGAAGACTAAGGCTAGACAAGTGTTTTGCTTACTTGGGTGTGTAGGAAGAGGTTAGGCAAATGAGCAAGAGAGTTTGGGAATATATAGAACTTGTATTACTTGAGAGGAGAGATTACAACTTGGTTGCTTGGTGAAGAGCAAATGAACTCCCACCTCCTATTTATAGGCCTTTGGCCTTACAAGAACATTCTAGATGTGTACAAATGTGTGGCCTAGATTTAGTATCTAGAATCCTCCAGAAATATCTACACAATTCTAGAACTATCTACTATGTACAAGACAAGTCTGGAGAATTCTAGAGAATTTTATACAACTCTAGACAAGTCTAGAAAAGGCTAGACAACTCCACACTAATCTAGAGAATTCCGGAAAGTTCCATACTTGTGTAGAGAAGTCTAGAAAGCTCCAGTCCATGCAGGCTCCATGTCATCGCCTGCTGGGCGTCTGCGTGGCGCCTGCGTGGCATAGCCTCTTAGTAGCGGGGTGTGACATTGGGCTAGATATGGGATTGGCTCCATATCAATAAACCCTCACACTGAACAGAAGGTTGGCGGTTTGCTGTAATATGTTCAGGTGACATACCGCGATGGTATGAAGTAGGATGGATAGCTTGGGCTAGATATGTGATTGGCTCCATATCGGTAAATCCTTACACTGAACAGAAGGTTGGCGGTTTGCTGTAATATGTTCAGGTGACATACCGCGATGGTATGAAGAAGGACGGATAGTGAGGTGTGCATTTAGATCCCATGCAGTTTGCACATCTCATGAAATACAGTAAAACCACTATATTTGCTTGAATTCTAGATGGAATCAGTTTTGAGACCATGGAACTGTTTAGACTAATATATTACTTGTCTGCGCATTCATGATCCACTATTGAGGAAATTTATGGAGGAGAGTGTTCTAAAGTTTCAATCCATCAATTTCGATAATTGTGTTTTCTAAATAAAAATGAATTGCCACTCGACTTTTATAAAGTGTGTTGCAATCCATAGTGTCATTTTATAAAACTTAAAGTGCATGGACCAAGTGGGAGATTGTTGGAATTTATATATATATATATATATTTAAATAATAAAAATTATTTTATGGTCCTATGCACTACGCTTTCTAAAATAGGATTGCAATGTGATTATTGATATTTGATAGATTGGGTTGTACTTTCCAATTTGGTGATCTAATTGGGAGTATAGTTTTATACCATTGGATTATGGTTTTCCAACTTATTTGGTGTGATTTAATTATAACCATTAATATATAAGTTTCCATGATAAGAAGGGAAACTTAGGTATGTTTGTTTGTAGAGAAGCTGTCCCCCCAGCACTTTATTTTCAGATCTCTCAAAGGGCGATAAAGAATTCTCAAAAGTATATGTGCATTAATTATCAATTATGTACGAGTCTAAATTACTCTTTAATTAATAATACTCCAGTGTCTTCTTCTAACTAGCCTCCCTAAGATCAGCTTCAGCTTCTGTTAATTTGGCTGTAGCAGCAAGTAACTCAACAGATGGCATCTCAGGGCCAATCGTCCTGCAAGACTCATCATTATCTGCTTCTGCTTCTGTCCAATGCTTTCTCTTCCCCTCTCGCCCACGCTTTCTTTCCTTTTCCTTTCTCTCTCTTCTCTTCCTCCCTCTCTTCTCTTCTCTCTCTCCTCAAACTTCCATCGCTCCGGTGGTGCCTAACCAAGTTAGCAGTTGCAGAGAGAGGGGGCAAGCGTGAGAGTTGAGAGACAGCGGGCCAACGGGTGAAGCTTGCGAACGGCGCGCGAACCCGAACTGGAACAACGGGCGATGGAAACTGAAAGATACGAGTTTGATATTTTGAACAATTTGAAATGATATGCCGATATGGGTTTTGAAATTTTGATTCTTGCAGACCGATAGATAAACGGAAATATATGGGTTTTGAACTTTTGATTCTTGTATATTTTGTAGTTTGTAGTTGCATAGAGAGGGAGGGAGGGCAAGTTCAGTGTCGAGAACGAGATACTCGGTTTCAATACAAGGATTCAAACAGGGAAAAAAACTTTAGATTTCCTTTTTTAGAAAAGGAAATCTAAAGGGTGAAAGAGGAGTAGAAACTTATTTTTAATATATATATATATATATATATATATAATAAAGTCTTTTCTGTTTTTTTAGAGAGAACTTTTGGTACATGAATTATAATATGAACCCCCTAATAGTATAGGAATCTAATTAGAAAGACATTTTTTTTATTATTCTTTTTTTAATTATTTTTAATTATTCTATTTTTTTAGAGGAAACTTTGGTATAGGAATTATAATATGAATCCCGATTTGGTATAGGAATTCTTTTATTATTATTTTATTTATGGTATGAATCTCAAATTGTATAAAAAAACTCAATAAGAAAGTCAATTTTTTTATTATTTTATTTATCAATTAATGATTTAAAATATTTGATATCCCTTGTACCGTAATAATAATATAATAATAATATAGATAATAATATTTTTAAAAAAAAAAATTAGTAACTTATATTTTAATAATGGTCAGTATTTGTATAAATCATGATTATTTTGGGACAGAGGATACTCCTACTTATTTTGGGATTTAATTTTAATTAATTATTTATAGATAATGATGATTTGGAGCGTCCACACATACACCGACTCACAAGTCCTATATATATAACTACTATGTGCATAATACTTAAGAAAGAAGAAAGAAGTCAATGAAAGCGCGTTGAAGAAGTTACGAAGCTCCTGTGGTGATCGCTTCTCCGGTGATCGTTGTCGGCGGAAAAATCCTCCGATTACGGTAAGACCTTTCACTACATGTGATTTTCGGCAGCAAATCATTGTCGAAGAAGAGAGAGAAAGACAACAGCAAACGATTGTTTTGTTCCTTCGTATCACTATTCATCTCTCATATTCATGCTTCTTTTTTCGATCAATTCTGCTATATAACTATCATATATGTATTTCCTTATATCATGATCAATTAAATTTGTGGTTGTGTATGCATATTCTGGAGTTTTAGATTGTGTCCCAAATCTAGGGTTTTTTCCCTTTTATAAAGAAAAAAAAATTGAATTGTGGGTTCTAGGATAGGGTTTATACGCTGTCCGATTAGGTTTGACTTAGGGTCAAATTCAATTCTGTATCTTTGTTTTTGGGTTTAATTGGTTGCTCAAGAAGAGTTGTTGGTTGATAATCATTATGGCAGCAGGAAGATGCGATATTCCAAGGAATAGAGATTTTCACTGCTCTAGAAAAGAAATTCATCACGATAGAAAAGATTACCGTGACTTAGAATTGAGTAGAAGTCGTGGTCGGCATGGTGGGCATAAAATTGAGTATGGTTCTTATACAAGCAGGAGTAGTTTGCGTGGCCGGACTGATGGTGGTCTTAGGCAAGGCAGAGGATATGTTGGTAGGATGGGAGATCGAGATGGGGGTGAATTATCGTGCTCAGGCAGGTCCAGTGATGCCCATTCTTTTCAGTCCGGGTTTGGGAATAATGACCTTTCAAAGTTTGAAGATGGAAGGCTGATGCATTTGGAGAAGAAGAGAAAGTTTTCGCCTATTGTGTGGGACAGGGATGGTAAGGAAGTAAGAATTGTTTCGAAGAACAGAATTGTACCAACAAGTGCTCCCCTTCATTCCCCACCATCGTTGGTGAGTTCTCTTGAGAAGGTGCAAAATGTTCCTTCAGATGGGGATGTTACTATGTATCCTGTCACTGCTACTCAGCTTCTTTGCTTGCAGATTTCCCCAGTTAAGCCTGCCGTGGCAATTGGATCAGTGGGTGGATCTCAGTCTGTGGCAGATTCGCCTAATTTGTTGCATCCAGAGCAGAGTAAGAACAATGATCTGGAACCAGGGCTCACGGAAGAGGAAGAGTACCTCAAGGCACGGAACATCTCAGCATCACGGTGGGCATACGACGAAAATTCCCCTGGGGATATATGTTCCAATAACGAGGAAGACATGCCTTCTAGGAGGGAAGTAGTTCATCATGTGAATTCATTAAAAACAGTATCAGCCAGGGACATGTCTAGTCCTGAGAGTGGGGAGTTTTGGAGGGAAGGCTCTGATGGCAGCAGTGAAAAATCATCCCAGTCTGGAGGAGGTCACTTTTTGGGGCCTGCCAATGGAGATGAATTTACTGAGAATGATCTGAACGATCATGATTTTATGGAAGTTGATGGGAAGCATGATGAAGCTGCTGGGGTTAAGGACTCAGACTCTGAGGATGATAGTTCTTCCTGTAGGATCCAAGGGCATGCAGTTCCTAATAATCGAAGCATAAACATGCTTCAAGGTTGTAGAAGCTTGTTTGAGTACGAGAAACTTAACAAAATAAATGAAGGCACTTATGGTATCGTGTATAGAGCTAAGGATAAGAAGACTGGGGACATTGTGGCATTAAAGAAGGTAAAGATGGGGGTGGAAGGAAATGGCGGGTTTCCTTTGTCAGCTTTGAGGGAAATTAACATTCTTTCGTCTTTCCAGCACCCATCAATTGTAAATGTTCAAGAAGTTGTTATGGGTGACCTTGACAATGTTTTTATGGTTTTGGAGTACATGGACCATGATCTCAAGGAGCTGATGCAGGTGATGAAGCAGCCTTTTAGTCAGAGTGAAGTTAAATGCCTGATGCTACAGCTATTAGAGGGTGTCAAGCATCTTCATGATAATTGGGTCATCCACAGGGATTTGAAGACAGCAAATCTTCTTGTGAATAACAGGGGTGAGTTGAAAATCTGTGACTTTGGAATGGCTCGACGATATGGGAGCCCTTTGAGACCGTATACTCCTTTGGTTGTCACCCTCTGGTACAGGTTGGTTGCAAACTTATCCTCACTTGCAGAAGGCTAATCGCTTATATCTTCCTTAATTTCCAGTACTTTTTAAAATACTATTGTTGTTGCTGCTGCTGTTGTGTTGTTGTTTTTACCTTTATTATTGTTGTTGTTATGGTTATTGTTGTTGTTTTTGTGGTTTTCTTTTTATTTTCTGATAACTAGTATTTTGAAGTAGTGACACCATTTTTTGTTGGTTAGGCTTCAATATGCTTGAGCTAAACACATTTTAGGCTCTTCTTGTTAGTTCAGTACTCTTTGTATCAAACAATTGAGTATGAGCCTTGTAGGCAATGGTATTGTTTAAATTTAACGAAATCCTTTTACTTTGTCGTTTATACTGAATTGGGTGCTGTGAGTTTTCATTATAATCTTTCTAATGTACAAAAGTAGCATTGTGTTGCTCATAGTTTTAGCTATGGGTATGACCAACTACTTTGTCCTCTTTCAATCACACAGATTTGATGATCAAAGCTATCATTGCTGCCTCAGCCTAGGCCTTATCTGCACTCTCTCGCTTATCCATTTTTTGACACAGTTTGTTGTTGGCTATGGTAAAATTTTCAACATATGCTAGAACGATCATCTTTATTATCAATAAACGTTATTACCAATTATTCATAGGTTTTGTTGTTGGCATTAATAGTCTTGTGTAATGTATTACCAATCTGATATAAGTGCTTTTCTTCTTCTTCTTTTTGGTAAGTAGGTATAAGTGCTTTTCTTAATTCAATATATATATATTTTTTATTTTATTGTTGGGATTGATATAAATTATTTTAGTGAACTCAGGAATTTGTGTGATGTTTACTTTGCAGGGCACCCGAAGTACTTCTTGGAACAAAAGAATATTCAACTGCTATTGACATGTGGTCAGTGGGTTGTATAATGGCTGAACTCTTAGCCAAGGAACCACTATTCAATGGGAAAACTGAATTGGATCAGCTTGACAAGGTAACTATATATTGTTTACCATTATTGCAGATCCTTTTTATATTTTACAGTTAGCCTTTTCATTGATGCTTTTATTTACTTGAAATAATTGCAGATTTTCAGAATTCTTGGCGTACCAAATGAGACTGTTTGGCCAGGGTTCTCCGAACTGCCAGGTGCCAAAGCCAATTTTGTTAAGCAACAGTAAGTAGAATTTTAATGCATTTTCAATCTTTCACTAAGACTTTTCTTTGCTCTCTTGGTCTCTAATTGCTGTGTTTCTCTCAGGTATAATCTGTTGCGTAAGAGATTTCCTGCCGTAAGTTTCACGGGATCTCCAGTTCTCTCGGATCTGGGACTTGATTTGTTGAACAAGCTTCTAACTTATGACCCTGAGAAGGTAAATTTCACTTCGTACAAAGGTCCGACTTAGAAACTTTTTATTACCTTGTGTAAGATTCAATGGTGCTATAGTTATAACAGATTTTTATTGCCTATGCAGCGAATAACAGCAGAAGCTGCTCTAGGGCACGGCTGGTTCCATGAGGTCCCTCTTCCCAAATCTAGAGAATTTATGCCTACATTTCCTCCTCAGCATATTGCGGACAGGTATCTTAACCCGAGAATACAGAGTCACAGAACCTGGAAATAAATTCACACTCAATTCATTCAAGCTCCATTGACTGAGTTCAAAATTTTGTTAATCTGAGCATTGGGTATTCTATGTAGAAGAGTGAAGAGTCGAGATGAGCAACCCAGGAAGTAACTAAAGCAAGTTCTATTTGGCTTTGAGTGGGTGGTGGATAAGTGGAATACGCTGGTGCTTGTTGGCCTTTGGTATGTGTAATTGCTCTCACTTTTATGTATTTTTTGACAGATTATGTATAAAGCCAAAAGTGAGGGAATAAAAAAAGTTTTTCTAAATGATGCCTCTTTTAGATACTGTTTTCTATACTTCAATATAGTAATTGAAGTGTAAAGGTTATTGACTAGTATTGTGTTGGTATATAATTCATAGCTTTCTGTCGATCCAAAGGAGTTAGAAAAGCAAAAAAGAATAAAAATATAATTTTAAAACGCAGCATACCGGTATATCTATCTATATATATATATATATATTCTGCTTCTTCTTCTTCTAAGCAGGCTAAATCCTATAAAATTCTTTGAACCATTAAAAATTTGACAATGGATAGCATAGAAGAGGAGTTTAGTCTTAAAAATGAAGATATTAATAGTTGATGGATCGATTATGAAAAATAAAAGTTGCCAGAATGGCTTCTAATTATGGAATAGAAAGTACAGTGTATAGTAATTAGGTCGAACAACAAAAGGATTTGTGGGTAAATTTCTCCACTCTCTCTTGAAGTTGACTTAATTACTATCGGTTTATAGGCTTTTTTGGAGTAATTTTATCTTTTGTGTTTATTTAACGCTGAAAATACCCTTTTGTTCAGCCTCATTTTTCTTTTCCATTTATAATCTCTCTTCCCTAGATACCGGCACCTTGGTTAAGAAACTTCACCTAATTTTAGCTGGAATTTACCCTACAAAATAAAAAAGTTAGCAGAGAAAGAAATATTTCATAGAAAGCATTGTTCCACTTCATTCTAAAATGGAGAATGATATTTTAGCCGATAAGTTAGACCTAAAACATTAGCGAAGGCTTATCTACCTAGTACCTTTATATATGTTTCAAATGGGATCTATGTTCATCACTTAAAACATATTGAAGGGATAAAAGCCGTTCAGTTAGTGTTTTAGGTCTAACTTATCGGTTAGAGTAGCATTATTCTTCTAAAGTAGTTATAATATTGGGACAAGTGCAGAAAACACTTTTAAAGAATACTCTGCGTAGCACTTTTATTCCTTATTTGAAAAAATGTGTAAAAAATACCCTTAATCTTTTCACATTGTGCAAAAATACCCCTCAATATAAAATCAGACATAAATTAGTGTTGTAATACCCGTTTTGCCCTTATACTCTTCCGAAAATACCCAAGGGGGTATATATGCCTACCAATCTCATAGTATAAGGGTATTATGTGCACATTACCTTATTTTTATTTTTATTTTTATTTTTAAAACTTTTTTCTCTATATATATCTCTAAATTTTTTTTTTTCAAAACTTTGAAATTTTGTAGAACAAGGATTTGAATATTTTTAGATTTCAGTTTACTGTTTTCTATATATATATATTTTTTTCGTACCAACACTTTAAAAAAAAAATGAAAAAGAAATAAAATTCCAATATTAGTGTGCACTGGTTTTTGGAATTTGGAACAGATTTGTTTTATTTAGCTTGCACTTCATTTTCATTTTTTATTTTCGTTTTTTATCTTTACTTTTCTTTTATGCTTTTTTTATTTTTATTTTTATTTTTTATTTTTATCTGTACTTGTCCATTACTGGTGACCTCCAATTGTTTCATTTTTGGTTATTTTACAAAATTATTTATTTTTAGATATTTAATAAAATAGTTAAGTAAGAGTAATTTAGTTCACTTAGAGTTTAAATTTGTCAGAGGGACCTATTGGGTATTGGCACCAAATAGAAATTTTAGGGGTGTCTTTTTATGCGTGAGGTATGATATGCATTGTAAGCATATTTTAAGGGTGTTTTCTGTACTTGACCCTATAATATTACTAACAAAAGAGCATCAGAAGTCGGCATTGGACATTGGTAATAACATTGGATAATGGATTGTTCTCAGAAAAGTGATTTATGATCTTGTTTTTTGGCTCCTAATTTTAATCACTTAGCTCTGCAACTGTGAATGCTACTATATATGTCAGGCCTGTCATTGCATTTAACTTTTTCCTCATATTTAAGGGCTCCTAGTTTTGAGGTAGGTAGCTGCTAGTGGTTTTATACCCTACATACAATGCCCCGTTATGCTCTTGAACCACACTGATTCACACATTGTTATATTGTGGCCAAGCATTGATCCTTAACCCTTCAGGCAAAGTAGGCCGCGCAGGCTGTTGATTTACAACTTGCACTGCCACCCAAAAACTCTCCCGATCCGCCCCTCCTAATTTTATTCGGATTTCCAGTAAGGTTTACGAAAATCTCAGCCGTATTAGCTTTCAAACCTGCAAGCCAGAACTTCTGAATTCTTTTGGCTATGTACTCTGAGATGAGCACAAATGTGCTATATACACTAACTGCTGGTCCTCCTGCCCCGGCAAGCCCTCTTAGCAACACCGCGACTTGTTTAGTCCTCGGATCATATGAAGCCCTCTTAGCAACACCGTGACTTGTTTAGTCCTCGGATCATATTTCAATTAACTTCCGGTTGAGTCACCTCTTAAATTTGGCTCGAGTGACATTTCTGCACATATAGATTTTACTAGTTCAAGTACCTTATTGATCCCACTCATTTGTGTACGATTATTTCTTGGATTTGAGATAAGTACCTTAGCTCGAATGTTTCACTAGCATCTGAGAAATAAACGATCACGGTCCGTTGGTCAACATCCACACCATCGGCGAATTTGAAAGGCACGCCTTCTGCCCCGGTAGCAAGCTCCTTTAGGTCCTACCACCAGGAGTCCGAAATAAGGCATCAACAATGTAGAGCTCACCTGATATAGTGTAGAAGCCAAAGGCCATCTGACAATTGTTTGTTCCTGAAACGGAGTTAAAAAGGAAATAAACAGGTAGAATGGTCCAAATGCATAGCATTTATGTGATGCCTAGTATCGATTTAAAAAAAATAAAAATAAAAAGGGATAAAGAGTTTAAGTTTTTAGAGTAGGTGGTTGTTAATATCAATATTCGTTATTGCGTGTGAAAGAAAGCTTATATGGATGATATTTTTTCCGTGTTAAAATCACTCTATATAGCGCAGTAAAGGAAAAATTTACAAAACCTACATAGGGTCCTCTGCCTTTCACGTCGAAGGATGCAGATTCAGGACGAGGATAGATTATTTTAGGACGAAGATAGATTATTGATCCATTCACCATATAAAAAGGAGTTTCCAAGGACTTCCTGAAAATCGTTTTCAATAATTCATAAAATTGAAAACTGTTTTCAGAATACTATAATGGCCAAAGTAGAAAAACCTACTTGGTTGAAAGAATTAAAAAGGGTTTGTTCTCAGAGAATTGTATTTTATAATTATCTGAAAACAGTATTGTTTTATAAGTTCTGGAAAACTGTTTTTTTATGGTTCTCCTTTTCTGATTTATGAGTTTTTGAAAACTGTTATTTGAGTGACAAACCAAACAGTAAAATAAAAAGTTTTTTGAAAATAGTTTTATGTTTTCTGAGTTCTTCAAAACTGCCTTTTGAGTGACATCAAACATTAAAATAAAAAGTTATCTGAAAATAGTTTTATGTTTTATGAGTTTTTGAAAATAGCTTTTTGAGTGACAAACCAAATAGTAAAATAAAAAGTTATCCGAAAATTCTGCTTGGATTGCTACTCTCAAAACAGTTTTCTGGTTTGAGAGTTACAATAATTCAAAAAAAAAGTGTTTTGTGGGTTTTTGAAAAATTGTTCTCACTTTGGTGAAAACACGAAGAACCCTCTCACTCACTTAAATGTCGTTTTCGTCTCTCTCGTTTATAAGTCATCCTTATCTTTTATCTCCTCTTTCTCTCAGTCGTACACCACTCCCCCTCCCTCTCTCTTCTGTTTTGCAAATCTCCTCAATAAGTTTCTTCGGATCGCAGATCGGGTTCCTTTATGCTTGTTCTTGTTGATCGATCGAACTAAAAACAAATATTAGTATGTGCGCTTGAGGTATGAGAAGAAATATAATCAAAGATTGCAGTGAACAACAGAGAATTAAAAGAAAAAGGATAGTGGATCGTATAAGATTGACGTTCTTATTTCCGATTCATTCCAAACTGATGCCTTTGCCCACCATGTTTTATCTCTAACTCTTACAGACGCAATCTCTCTCTAAAATATTCGTACAAAAATAAGAAAAATCAACGCTTGAAGAAGAGATCTCTTCGGTCTTCTTTCTCTGTATATAACTCCTTTCTCTTTCCATATATAAAAAAAGATTCTATGATAATTTTCCATCTTCCTCTAAAATAGATTTAAAGTCATATTCCCAATAAATTCCCAATTCAGTTGTCCAGAAACATCTTTATTTTAATTTTATTTTTTATTTACAAGAAACATCTTTATTTATTGTGTGAAAAAAAAAAAAAAAAAAAAAAAAACCCCTTGTAATTAATATTTGTCCAAGTGGACTATTGGTTTAATGCTGTAATATTATAGGTTCTCATGTTTAAACTTTATTCCATCATATTTTGTAAAGAATTATATTTAATATTATAACTTTATTTAACTCTTTTTTTTTTTTTCTTTTTTTTCCTTTTTTTAATAGTTATGACATAATCAGCTAAGATTTAAAATATATGGATGTATATAGCATACAAACTAGTGCAAAATTCAATGGTGTGAAATATGAGACACAATAACAAATTTTTTTTAAAAAAAATTCTTCTAAATTCATAAAACTATTTTTTAGACAACCAAATAGTTTTTTGAATTTTTGTTCTCTGAAAATTGTTTTGTAATTTTACCAACCAAGTAGATTTTTAAACTGAAAAAAATGAAAATTGTTCTTTGTTTTCATTCTCTAAAAATTGTTCTTCAAAACAATTTTGAGAGAACAAAACCAAGTAAGTTTTTTTAAATTGAGTTTTCAGAAAACAATTTTGAAATTATTAATAAAGTAAATTTTTGTACAATTTTTTATATTTTCAGTTCTCAAAAAATAGAAAATTATTATCACAAAACCGAGCCATCCGTCTTCCCAAATATTTTCTATCATCTTCCATTTTGCTGATTTTCTATCATCTTCCATCTGGTTACTTTCATATCCACTAAAGTAAACTAACTATATATAATAAATCAATGGATTCCTTTTCTTCTATAATTAATAATTTTGGTTTATGTAACACTATAATGGACACATATGTATCATCTTCATAAGTGTTAAATTCTTCCTAGTATTTTTTATGAGGCAACTTTTGTGGAACTATAACAAACAGATATATACTTTTCAGTGACAAATGATTGGAGTTTGTTTAATCCCCAACATAGCCCACCTGCGGGATAGCTCAGTTGGTCTGGGTTTGTTCCCTAATGATTATCAGTTCGAGTCTCCGCAGGGCCACTGGAGGCTTATCCAGTAGTTAACTTCATGTCTTTGTGGGATTAGTCGAGGTGTGCGCAAGCTGCCCGGACACCCACGATTATCAAAAAAAAAAAAAGTAGTTAGTCTAAAATGGTGCCAATTGGGGTTGGTTTTCTCATGCATACAAACCCCTAATAAGTCACAGGTTATGTACATGTTCTGCATTCATCAGTATCGTTCAAATTAATTAATCTATCGTAAGACAAGAACAATACAATTATTGCATTTGTTATCTTTTGCAAGGAACAGAATTATAAACAATGATTCACAAAGAGCTTGGTACAATAAAAAATCAAAAAGAAAAAGGGTAGAGCAGAATGGAAATAGATCTTATAATTGGAAAAAAAATTGGTATAGCAGAAAATTGAAAAGATACCCGATAACAAAATGGTAGAATGGAATGGAAATAGATAACAAAAAAAAATCTAAAAAATACTCGGAGGAAAAAACGTAGAGTGGAATGGAAATAGAGAACAAATTTTTTTTTTTTAAAAATATACATTTTGGCCCATGCAGGTCTCGAACCTGCGACCTTCGCGTTATTAGCACGACGCTCTAACCAACTGAGCTAATAGGCCACATGCTTCGGTGGTTCGTATTTAAATTATTTAAATTAAAACAACAACGAAACAGGCTAGAGCAATCAGGTGATGGATTAATGCCAATATTTTAAGCATCCACAATATCAAAGGCTATCCGTGTCTCTCAGTCGTTGGATTATTTATTAGATTACTGTTGAATTCTTGTAATTGGGAAAAAGTTTGGTACAACAAAAAATCGAAAAGAAACTCAAGAAGAAAAAGGTAGAGTGGAATGGAAATAGATAACAAAAAAAATGGGGAAAAGCTTGGTACAACGAAAAATCGAAAAGAAACTTGAGAAAAAAAAAAAAAAAATAGAGCGGAATGGAAATAAAGAATAATAAAATTAATTTTTTTTGGCCCATGCAGGTTTCAAATCTCGACCTTCGAGTTATTAGCATGACGCTTTAACCAACTGAGCCACATGGTCAAGCAATTATATTTTAATCATTTAACTTAAAACAACAATGAAAAAAGCAATGACAAATTGTTCACAAGAATGGTGATGGGATCAATGCCAATATTTTAAGCCACCCACAGTTTCAAAGACTAACCCATACCTATTCAGGGTCTTACGTGAATTTCACCACCACATTCAATGGTTAAGGGAATTAGGGATGCGTTACTCTCGGGTATTCTAAATTTTTTTCTAGGGCATTGTGGGAGTTGACTCGTGGCTCGCAACTAAGTTAGCCCAGCATATCTCCCTAGCTTTGTACAATAATCTGTAGTTAAATTGTTGTATCAAAAGTTCTTGCTATATGAAATGCCTAAATATTGAGTGTTTGTTTGGATAGTTGATACCAAACAACTAGCCTGGCCAAACCACATTAGGTTATGATCCTTTTTTATATTAAATCAAGCTTGATTGAGTTACGAATTAATGGAGTGTGTGTTCTCGTCTCACTTCATTTTAATCTGTGTTTGATAATAATATAAAAATGGAATTTTCTAATTCAAAAATACATCCTATATAGTTATTTATGCAAAATTGATAACTGTGTCCATAGGATTGAAAACATAGATTTTACTTTTTATTGATTCGTCAATAATTTCTAATAATAGGGTAGTTTTATCTTATTATTTTAAAGTTGTATTAGGACTCTTTATTTTTACTTTAAACAGTAGAGGAATAATCGATGTAAGAGGTCCAGCACCTCACAAATCAACCCCGTCAATTCGATTCATTCTTTTCAAATCTTAGTTCTTTGATTCCTTAGAATAGTTCAGCTTTGAATTAGTTAATTATTCTAGTTCTAATTAACAGGTTTTTTTTTATTAATTGTTAGTTATTATTTGAAGTCCTATTTTTCATCAAGGCAAATGGAACCCAGCTGAGAGTTTATGTTTTCTCTCACACATCGTTTGTTCATCATTTTTCACAAAAAAGACTGAGTTTGACCAAATCTTTACGGTTTGAACCAAACCCATTGGTTCTGATACGCTTGTGTTGGCCAATTTCTGAATCGACAGGCTTAACCGATTTAAGGGCCAATTTCTGAATCGGCAGCCTAAGCCGATTTAAGGAGTTCCAACATTTTATAAAGAAAAGTAGCATAGGACATTTTAGAATTAAAATTCGAAAAAATTTAATTCAAAATAAAGCTCACCAATTATATGCTGTCAAACATAAGTTATTACTCAAACAAGCCAGATGCTCTTGAACTTCACTAATTAAATAACCATAGCCATAATTGATTGATCCTTTATCCTATTTGTACTACGGTATGGTATGGGACCATGTAATCTAGATTAATTACAAATTGTAACATAATTAAAAAATTGAATAAAGTTGACACATTTAATTATGTGATACTTTGTGATTGGTCAAGACTACATAGTTTTGGATCATATAATATGAGTTTTAAATCTAGTTAACTTGTTTAGAATGGATTTGATTCAATTTTTTCATTTTGAACACATAATGCTCTTGAGCTGGGTCACCTATCAGGATCAAGATGGAAAAAATTATTATATGGTCCCGGGCTAATCAATAGTTAACACGCAAGCAAATTTTTCCTGCCCAAGTTGGTGGGCAGGAACCAAGTAGTGTTCTTTTTTTTAAAATGACTTGTTTTTTAAATTTCAATAAACCAGTTACCCATCTGATAGTTACCAAACTATTCGAAGCAACTTCAATGACATCTTTCAAATTTGGCTCTCCAAATTTTCCACGTTAGCATTTTCTAAGATTCATGTCAGCATTTTCAAAAGTCACCAGGGGATAGATAAATAAATAAAGGCAGAAAAACCGATTTTTGGCTATTTTCTGACCCAAACAGGCCCTTAACACAATGCCAATTGGGTCGTCGGATTAGACGGACCCATTCCCCGACCCAATTACTGGACCCACAAAATGGCAACTGCATTGGAGCAAATTGGGTCGCTAGAGTTGGATTGGGCTCACGGAAACTGGGTTACGCGAGCCCCATTGGAGTTGGCCTCAGGTCATCATACGTGACAAGTTTGTGTCTTTCCGTCATCACAATACATACGGATAGGGCATTTGACAATAATATTAGGTTGTGTTTGGATTATTGGAATTAGAATTTGTGAAATTGAAGAAAATTTTAGTTGAATTTTCTGAGTTGATTTTCTCCAATTCTATTAATTCCAATTCCAAAACTCCAATTTCATACCCGCCAAAGTTAGCATTTTCAATGTAATTCGACCACACAAAAAATATATATATATATATATATACACACACACATATACATCAATTGCATTTATCAATCACTGAAAATACTTCAGATAAAAAAGAACCACAATTGCAAGCAACAAAATGTGTAAATCTATTACATGAATATTGCAAACGCAGAATACATGTTCTCACTTTCTTCTTCACAAGCATAAAAGATCTCGACTGATTACAACAATCCAACTCGAAAGAGACTCGTTGAAACACTGGATGTTCCTATGATTCTATTAATGATCTTGCATGGAGAAATAAACTTGGTAGTTTAAACTACCAAAATGAAGAACAATAAGGATACAAAAACCAACCAGAAAATGCAAAAAAATTAACTTCAAAGTCCTTTGGTGGGACGAACAAAACCGAAGGCCACCAACATTTCTCGGTCCACTAGCGAAATGATCTGGAATGTCGGAAGCTCGAGTAATTGATTGGTTGGTATTAAATCAAACTGTCATATGATTCTTTCCTACTAGCAACATCACAATAAAAATGGCTGCCACTTCTACTTGTAGATATCATATGAAAATATGGATATCCATGAATCGGGATCCTAATGCAAATAGAATACAAATTGTCCAATAGACAAATCGCCAAAATGTGGAGACTAACTGGTAGATTACCAAAGAGAAGAAAAACCCAAGCAAACGTTGGGGCTGCTTACAAAACGAGGTGGAGGCAAGCTGCTGCTGTGGACAAACCTCCGGACGGTTTTTTGTAGATGTCATTTGGTAGTGATAGTTATAGTCTTCCCGAGGACAAAAAAGACCAGAGAGAGCTCAATGAAGAAGATCGTGTTAACAAGCATCCGATCAATGGTCCACCCAAAGACACTGAACCCTCCAAGGTTGGACTGCACATAGGAAACTGCAAAACCAAGTAAACCTGAGTATGCTTTACATGTAAATACAAAACTATAAGTCAATTTTAACCACATCGATAACATGAACAATTGTCCAACCAAGAACTATATAAGAATACATGATGTTAAGGCATTTAACAGCACACATATGATCACGGGGCAGGGCGAAAGGCAAAAATTCATCAAGAAATAAAAAAAGGGAAAATTACACTCCCTGTGATTCATCCTAATTAATGGACTCTGAGAGCTGCTGAATGCATCCATTGAATTATCGATAAAGCTACTCATGGTACACCGAAGATGTCGGAAAGATGTAAAGGGATTTGTACAAGAATTGGAAAATGAACAAGCTGATGATATGGATTTAAAGCAACATTGTAAAACAGAATTTTGCACCTAACCCTAAACAGTTTCTAAGCTGAGTTTTACCTATATCCGTTGTCAAGAGTGTTCATGCTTGTGCTTGTCTTACTAGAAGAAATGGTAGTTGAACACTTCCTAACTAGGACCTTAATTTGAGATTCAATAAAATTCTATTATAGCTGATGAATTATCAGCATGTTATAAGAAACCTTATGTTAGCCTCAAAGCCTTTGCTCTTTCATATAAAACAGAAATTATATAACATTTTCTATGTGGAAAAAAAAAAAAAAAAAAGGGTAAATAAATAAGACCTTAGGTTTAAACCACTTCATATCGAGAATGATCTCTTTATTTTGAACAGCAATAAGAAGAAATCTTAGAAGAAAACAGGAAATCAATGCAAAATTTTGTTGATTATAATGCAGACGTACCAAAGGCTTGTCTCTTGTGGTACGAAGACGCATGAGAAGCCAACTGGGTATTTGTGGGCATGGGCACATAATCAACCGATTCCAAATCACTTTCTGAGTAGCTTATTGGTAATGCGCATGTTGGATAGGCAGGTTCCAAGTTTCCACCATTAGTTGGAGTTCCCATCTGAGAAGCATCATTAGAAAAGGATGTGACAAAAGCATGCCATCTGCTAGCAACTGATCCGACACCTTGAGCTCTATGTGAAATCTTTGCAGCCGCATGCAGACAAAGAATTATTCCAACAACTTCAACAATTGAGCAGACCTGCCATCATTGATATCAAGTCAAACCCTAGGTAATCAACTCTATAAAATTTTAGGAGTAAAATACTGGGAAAAAGAAAAATATGGATTTTAATACGCTCCTAATGAATCTGTTGTTTCAAAATGATATGCCATTTCTCCACACAAACTAAAACCGAAAGAACAATACTAAGTGCCAAAAGAATCTGAAAATTGGATGGTTGCAGTAACCATTCTTACTTGAATGATATAACGAGTAAGAGGTTCCTAGATTGGACTATTGTTTGGTAGGTCAGACCTTGCTACAGGGAGGGCCTCTCAAATAATAGTTATACTTTGCTACAGAAGATCATCTGCCAAGGGTTAATAACTGCCAAGGAGGATTTTGATAATTTAATAAGAAGTCACAATATAATAAGCTTAAAGGTAATAGTGGAATGCAGACAAGGAAAACTTTTAAAAAGTGAATTCCATAGATGAAGTTTACAAAACCATTCTTGCCAATGGTACCAGCCTATCTGGTTATCAGCCCATTACCGTCTGTCAAAAGTTCTTCATGGCTCATGAAGAGACCACTTATGAATCAACACAAACACACAAATAGACACAAGATAAGTGCAACAAGATAAGTGCAACATATATTCCACACTTACAACGAAATCACCAGCGTTGATGATGTTGAGGATTCCAACATTTCCGGTTGTCTGCAATAGAGAAATAAACTGACTAGCTGTTACAACCAAGAACTCCAGAAGAAGAAATATTCGGAATCTGTGGCTTATTTTAGACAAGTAATGTGTTAGACGAGTGTGCTCTTCGATGTAAACTGAAACATCCAAATCCCTCTCTAATAGCTTCCCATAGTTTTCAAAGTGTATCGCTTGCATATTACAAGCCAAATTGAACAGAGCAGTTCCTGATAGATAGATTATAATCGAATAAGTCCATGATACGAGTAAAGCCAACACAAGAATGACGGAATGCCACCACAAATCATGACGCAAGTAGATAACACGGACGACCTCACGGGCAGTCTTCAATAGAAAGCACGGTAGGATCCACACAATCAGCACCCGGAAAAAACCCTAAACAACATAAGTAAAATTAATTACTTTTATGTATATATATCAATTATATGATTAAGCCCATATGGAGTTTGCTCAACAAAATTTTTGAGTATAACAGCTGCAACAGCCAACTTATTCATGCTGCAAACTCATAAAGAGCTGTCATCATTATAGAAACTCAACAAGCTTCATAAATCATCAGCTCCTATTTTCGTAAGATATGCAAAAACACCCAATCAGATACTGTTTTACCCGATATGACAATTGAATTCCAAAATTCATATGGGGTATTCAAGTGTTCCTTTTTTGGCAGGCTAGAAAGTGGTGTATGTCCCTCTGTTTGGATCAAAACATTATTTTCTATAAAAAAAATTTCCCTATGATTTTCAGTGGTAGTTTACGGATTTCATCTATTGGCTTGCTTCATCATACAATATTATCAATAAATTAATCCTCATTCATTCTTCGGCACTAATTTCTAAGGGAAAAAGAACAACCTTTTACTAAGAAGAACGCAGATCTTCAATTTTACTTGCCAAAAAATAAAATAAATTAATTTCAAATAAATTAATTGGAAGTTCCCTGAATGCTTCAGAAAGCATATTTTACTTTGATTTAGCTCAAACTATGCAAGAAAATAGTACTCAAACACTAAGCATACAATCTGTTTAATAAAACAGTGTAATTTGTAAAGTGCTTTTTTGGAAGTACTTAAACTAGCTATCAGCACAGAAATGCAAGGAATTTTTGCTTTTGAAAGCAAAAATAGTAAATTAGTTACCAAAAACAGAATTGAAAGAGTAGCGACTAGTGATAATTGCTCACATTGATCTTCTTGATGTACTCGTCGCGAAACTGGATCGTGTGACCGTGATACCGATCCACGAAGAGGGTGTTCCTCAAGCCGTACTTGCGAAGATTGTGCGAAATGCAGAGAAGCGAAATCGCAGCGAGAATCAATTGGGAGGTCAGAATCTCGAGCTCGAACACCCTGATCTGATACTTCTCGCAGTTAGAGCAGTAGGAGAACCGGATGGCGATCACCGGCAGGGCGACGCCGATGACGGCGTAGGCGAGCCACGAGAGAATGGTGCTCACCGGAGAGTACTGGCAGAAGCCGAAGAATCGGAGGAACGATTCCAATCTGTGCAAGGACTTGTCGAGTTGAGTGTCCGCTTCGTCGATCAGGGCGACTCGAATCGACGTTGAGTCCTCCGTTCTTCGTGCTTGAGGCGCGGCCATGGTTTTAGAGAGAGAAAGTTGTAGAGAGAGAGGGAAAAAGTTCAGAGCCTCCCCTGTTTATGGCTCAACAACAGGACACAGACTGAGTTTTAGAGAGAGAAACTAATAAAAAAATGAGGCCATGGTTCTAGAGAGAGAAAGTTCTAGAGAGAGAATAAAAAGTATGGAGCTCTCACTATAAGGCAACAGAAAGTGATTGGAAGATAGAGACAGTGAGTTGCGAATGAGAGTTTAAGAGCGAGTCTAATCTCTGGTTATATATAGTAGAAAACAAAGTAGAGAGAGAGAGGGGAAGAGATTGCTGGGACGAGAGAGCTTTACAAAAGTTAGTAAAGTTTGGGGTACAATAGGGTTTAAAGAGAGGAAAGATTTTACGGTGCGTTTGGACATCGAGAAAATGAAGGGAATAAAAAATTATTTTTCATTACAGGCTGATATGAAATTTTCGACCCACCTAAAAGTAAGTTATTTTAATTACTTTTCTTTTTAATATGTTTTTAATAAGAGAACCATGTGCCGTGTATTAATCGGTCAATTCGATCCGATTGAATTATCAATTTTACCATGATATATTCTTTAAGATGTATTAGTTAATAATTATTTAATAGTCTCTAAAAATATATTAATTAATGAATTAAAATTTTATTTATTACGTTATGATTAAAAATAAAAATATTGAACTATTTGAGAAAGAGAAGTGATAGGTCTTTCAATTCATTATTTTTATGAATTCGGCCCATTATTTCACGAATTAGTGGCGAATTCAAAATTTCCCAATATGTTGGTACCGAATCAAATTAGGCATTCGGACTAATGACGGTATTATAACATATATTATAACATAATTGTAAAAATGATGACCTGACGTATTGATGGTCAATACTAGAAGGTGACAATTTGTTCTAGTGTATTGTTTTAAGTGTTTGTGTCTTACAGGAGTTTATTTAAATCGTATTATTTTTAATATAAATACGATATATTTAGTTAAACATATTTAATTAAATTATAAACAAATTAATAAATCAATTATAAATACAATATGATTTATTAAAGAATTAATTCGACTCGATACAAACACTGTTAAATCAAATTTAAATTTACTTGCATCGAATGGTAATAGAGGTGGCAAATTACGACACGACCCGTCAACACGACACGAGATAAGCGAATTTGGGTTAACTTTAAACGGGTTCGGGTCATAAACGGATTGACACGATTAACTCGTTTACTTAACCGCATCAGGTTAGAGTTGATGGGTTCAACCCGTATAACCTATTTATGACTCATTTAACTAAACATGTTATAATCGTGAATATAACATAAGTAATATGTTACTTGTTTAAACCCAATTATTAAGGATTATTAAGTCATTTCAATATAAACCTTGCCAATGTTATTTTTCTTCTTGTTTTGAATATTTAAGTTAATTGTGACAATTTATTATTATTATTTATTATTTGAATAAATATTAAATATCTCGTTTTGATAAACATATCATTAAACGGGTTAATAAGTTTACCCGTTTAATAAACGGATTGGGTTAGTGTTGAAGGTTCTTGACACGATTATTAAATAGAATGAGTTTGAATTTATCTGTTTAGTATAATACCCTTACGTCAACACGACACGATTATGATCCACGAACACGAATCACCACGCCTAAATGGTAGTAACGTCAAACGTGTGGCATGAAATATTGCCATCCGGATGATTGAAAGGAGAGAATGGTCTAGAGATGCTTATAGAGCATCTCCAATGCTCTTTCATTTTGAGCTCTCAAACTTATAATTTGAGATATGGGTAAAAAAAACCCACTCTAATGGCCTTTCATTTGGCCTCTCAAAATTTAAAAATCTCAAAATTTATCTCAAATATAAGAGCTGCCAAATTTTTTTGGCAACTCTCTAACACCGACCCCACACACACATATATATAATTTCAACCCCCCTTTCCCCTCCCCCACACACTATAATTTCAACCCAAATTCGTCTATATATATATATTTAAAAAAGATCATAAAAAATTTCACCAAATAGGATTTAGTTTGCAAAACAAGAATTACAAACCTTGATTAGTTGATTTAGAGGAAAAAGAAAAAGAAAAAAAAAAAAAACAAAACAAAACCCATACATACAATTTAGCAGTTGCAAAGAAAGAGAGGCCAAGCTTGAGAGTTGAGAAAGCAGCTGAAGCTTGCGAACGGCGAACCCGAACTGGAACAGCAGGCGATGTAAACTGAAAGATATGGATTTTTGAACAATCTGAAATGATATGCCGATATGGGTTTTGATCTTTTGATTCTTGCAGACAGATAAATAAACTGAAAATAAATGGGTTTTCAACTTCTGATTCTTGTAGATTTTCTAGTTTGCAGTTGCAGAAAAAGAGAGATAGAGAGAGAAGGGGAGTTCAGAGTTGAGAACGAGAATAGAGATGAAGGCGATTGGGGAGGCTGGAATGATTTGCCCTAAAAATATATATTTATAATAATAATATACTCAAATATATATAATATACATATATATATAATATATATAAATTTTCGAAAAAGAAAAAAAAAAGTATATAAAAAAAATTATATAACAATATAATCAAATATATAAATTTATACACACACACACACACACGTATATATATATATATATTGGTCCTTTTTTGACCAGATATTTTAGATTTTTGTTTCTTTTTAATTAGGTTTAATTTTAGTTTCCTTCTAATGTCTACAACTTGACTTGGAATGTGCCTAAATTAAAAAAGAATGGTGATTGTGTCAAAAAATAGCATTTTGCATGAAATGTATTATTGAAGTTAGGGCTGCAACTTGGGCTGGCCCAACCCAGCCCAGTCCCAACCCAATCTCAACCGAATCGGGTTGAGTTAGACCAACCCGAATTGTACTCAAAATGGGTTATGGTTATAACCCGAACTGAATATTTTCGGACGAGTTGAGTCGGGTTGACGGGTTGATTTTTTTTTTTTTAATAAATGTTTTTTTCCTGAAATTTATATATATATATATATATATATATATATATATATATATATATATATAAAATATTGTTTTATATGTATTATATATATTTGATTATATTATTATAAAATAAAATAAAAAGTTTTAGGGCAAATCATTTTAGCCTCCCCTATCGCCTCCATCTCCATTCTCCTCTGAGCTTGCCTTTTCTTTCTTTCTCTCTCCAACTGCAAACTACAAAATCTACAAGAATCAGAAGTTCAAAACCCATATATTTCAGTTTTTTCTATCTGTCTGCAAGAATCAAAAGTTCAAAACCCATATCAGCATATCATTTCAGATTGTTCAAAAAATCAAAACCCAGGTCTTTTAGTTTCCATCACCTGCTGTTTCAGTTCGGTTTCGTCGTTCGCAAGCTTCAGCCACTGTCTATTAACTCTCAAGCTTGCCCCCCTCTCTCTATGCAACTGCTAACTTGTATGTATGGGTTTTGTTCCAATTTTATCTCTCTCTCTGTGCAACTCTCAAGCTTCAGCCACTGTCTCTCAACTCTCAAACCCATATATTTCAGCTTTATCTAACTTGTATGTATGAGCGGCGGTTGCGGCGGCGACGACAATAGGGGACGGCGGAGAGAGAGAGAGAAAGAAGAGAGAGGAGAGAGAAAGGAGAAAAAAAAAAAAAAAAGGGTTTCGGGTTGGGTTCGGGTTGAGCCTGAGCCCAACCCTAATATGTCTGAGTTTTGAACAAAACCCAACCCGAATATGAACCCAATTTGTGAATCTAAAGCCCAAATTTCAAAAATTTGAGTTGGGTTAGATTAACCCGCCCAAGTTACAGCCCTAATTAAAGCAGAATTACTAAAATGTAATATTTTGACATTGTAATACTTGTCAAAATATAAATTTAACAACTGAAAATAACTTTTAGCATTGAAAACGAGGATAATTGTTGGAGGCAGAAACAAACATCCCTTTTTTATTTCCCTTTCCGTCTTCCGTTTCCCTTTCTTTTTCTGTCCGTTTGTTTGTCACTAAGGCTGCAACTTGGGCAGGTTAACCCAGTCCAACCCGAAGTTTTGAAAATTGGACTTTAAATTCACAAATCGGGTTCATGTTTGGGTTGGATTTTGTCAAAACCCATATATATTTGGGTTGGTCTCGGGCTCAACCCGAACCTAACCCAAAACCACGCCCCCCTCCCCCCCCCCCCCTTTTTTTTTTCCTCTCTTCTCTCTCTCTCTCTCTCTCTCTCTTCTTTTTCTTTCTCTCTCCGCCGTCCCCCGACCTCCGCCGCCCCTCTTACATGAAAATCTAGTAAAGTTGGATATTTTGAACGATCAACACAAAAAATCTTACGAGTTCCACACGTTGCATTGAGTTGAAACAAAATTTCAAATACCCAGATGGTTGATTTTTGTCAGGAAGTCAATTTCTAGAATAATTTCTCAGGAAAATCTAGTAAAGTTGTAGATTTTGAATGAAGAACACAAAAAACTTACGAGTTTTCCATGTTGCATTGAGTTGAAACAAAATTCAACAAAATCCCCATGAAGCTCAGAGGATGTAATTTCGGATTTTCCTACACTTTCTCGGGAAAAAAAAATGGCCGGCGAAACAGAGAAAGGCATAATAGAGAAGAAGAGAAACTGAGAGTTCTGGGTTTTGATTTTTTAAACAATCTGAAATTATATGCCGATCTGGGTTTTGAACTTTTGATTCTTGCTGACAGATAGATAAAACTGAAATATACGGGCGTATAAAGATTCCAAAGGTATCGACATCATCACAAGCCCCTGCTGCTTGGCCTGGTGGGAATGGGCGTCTGCGTGTTTGAGAAAACCTTAATTTCGTCTCATACTTACAAATACATATATATATATATACAGATCTGAAAATTCATATATTACCAATTCGTAAAATCTATCTAAAAATTAATATATTACTAATTTTGTAGACAATCCACATACAAATATCTATACATATTTATATAAACAGAGATTCGTAAGGGGAAAGAGAGAAACGTGGATCGACAATTATATATATATACAAATATGTATGTGTCTGTGTATGGAGAGAGAGGTTAGAGCACAAAAAATATAATTGTCAGAGGACAAGTTCAGAGAGAAAAGAGATGAGGCGATAGGGGAGGCTGAAATGTTTTGCCCTAAAAATATATTTTTTTTTTATAATAATATAATCAAATATATATAATACATATAAAATAATATATTTATTATATATATATTTTCGGGAAAAAAAATAAAAATAAAAAAATTCAACCCGCCAATCTGACTCAATTCGTCCGAAATACTCCATTCGGGTTATAATCATAACTCATATTGAGTACA